GATGAATAAGTTACGAAACTGATTGAACGAGGGTCAGCTGGATATGAAATTAATATTAAAATTGAAATTTTATTGAGTTTGGAAAGCAATTGAAGTTTAACGCAAACATGGCAGCTATGGCAATTTTATTTGACAGCAGTTTTTATTGCACAAGATTTTGCACATGGAAATTATTACAGATTCTTATAGACAGATTAAACTACTGCTTAAAGTTATGTTAGAGTGACATTACTTAAAACATTTCCTGTCTAATTAAACTAAAGAGGAAATTAAATTATCTTTGAACCGAAAATACACGACAGCTGTGATTTGGGTCTGTTCCGTATACTCGAATATATACATACGAATACATTTGCCTATATCCCGAATTGTAGGTAAGTAGAGGTGTATACGACGATCTTAATTGCGAATAATTATTTTAAATAATAAAATTATATCAATGATAGTAAATTTTACATAATAATATATTGTCTTCTCTTTTTTTAACAATCATTTGATGAATAAGACATTAATCTAATTACTTCAGAAATTACAAACATTTTTATTATGTCACATGTACTATAATTTTAGCATTGATTCTTATAAATACAAATTTAGTCAAATTGGTCTATTTTTTGTCTAACAGCTAATATTAACTATATTTATTTTACATACTTAAACTTAAACAATAGACATCCTGATTTAATGCAAGAAATATTAAATTTCAACTAAATTTGTAACATGAATTTCTAATATTTTTTTAAATGTAAGACAATATAAAACAATTATATTGGAAGACATGTATTCAGAAACATTATATAGAAAACAGTAACAGTAGTCGCATATTATGTGTAATATCTGTCATCTCACGGCATACCTTAGCAAGTCACGCTCTCATTGGCCAAATTGTCGCGACGTACTTTATAAACGTGCGCTCATTGGTCCAATCAAAGACCGCGCGTTTATCCGATTTCCTGTTACACATTTCCGTCTCTTTTCACGATCCACTTTAAGAGATTGAGATACAGCGAGATTTGTAGATTTAACTTGTATTTAATTTGCACGTTACCTTGGCTTCTACGTGTTAGAACTGCAAATTAGTATATAAATGATTTATAACAAATAATTTATTGTAATAGTCATATTTTAGTAAAATCATACATTTATAATGGAAACCGGTTTTTTTGAAAAGTAATCACGTCGGTGTTACATAAAAACACTATAAAATTGTTGTTAAAAAATGCTTTCAAATAAAGGACAACAAACTTGTGTGTGTGTAGTGTATCTAAATAATATTACTGGATTCTTTCAGAACTGTTTTACTAGCAGTTAGCCGTTTTTTTGGGTATAATTTGTGCAATAAAAGTAATTTAAACTATGTTCAACATTTCATATGTCGTCGCGTAACAATAAAGAGAAGTAAATAAATACTCATGACCACAGATAGCGTAGTATAGTGTTGCACGTACGTCAATAGTTATAAGCTTTAAAAAAAATTAAATATTATTGTAAGTTGTATTAAGTTAATAATTTATATTAAGTTGCATGCTGTGTTTTCTTACAGAATAAAGTTTATTTTATTATTATTATTATTATTAAATGTCAAAACAAACATTTTTGTTTTAACATAATAATAAAATATTATAAAACAAAAGCCAACATTAAATTTAAATCAATATTTTATCGGGTTTCATGTTTTGTTGTAAGATTTATTACGAAGGCTCATGTTGTAACTTATCAGAATAAAATTACAAAATATATTATTTTCCTATAAAAAATAATTAACGCACAAAAAAAAAACATTAAATAGATCAGAGTCAAAAGATCCTTATTAAGATAAATATAAATATATTACGTTACCTATTAAACAATATTTCTTATTAAACTATGATAACATAACTTTATTGCATTGGTTTTCGTTACTGTGGAAATATTGAAGCTTAGTTGAAAGAAAAAAGGCACTTGCTTGAAGATTTATATTGTTATTTAACTATTATAAACACACTACACATTTTGTATAAAAATCAAAAGAAGTATATAGAAGTAAATTACCCCAAAACTGCACGAAAAAGGACAACATAGAAAACGAAAGCCCATTTGTAACCAAGATCTGCTAAAATGTTGCCCCAAGATCTGCTAAAATCAAAAATTGCTCTGACCGCGGGCTCAACGTCTCTTGCAAGCCAAGTTTAATGTGTTTCAAGATGAGTCGCCTTCTTCAGTTTTTCATGTAGTCCTTTTCCGTGCCATTTTGTGGTAATTTACTTCTGTATACTTGTTTTTCTACTTCTTTTGACGATTTTTTTACAGGAGCAATAGCAGCCACTGCAGCTAACTGAACAGCACTCACCGCAACACATCTTTGACAAGATCTAGAGTACTTAAAGTCAAGATTAAGGCTTCACAGAAGATTAAAGAAAAGAAGAGTATATTTGAATATCATGACCAATGTAGGCTTATAATTAAATATATTAGTCTTTATTGTACACCAACAATCTTTTGTTTCCTTACAAGAATATATCAAATTAATAAACATGCACAATTGGACATATGGACTGTAAATAGACGAATTCTTGAGTAGTTTATGTGAAAAAGAATCATAAAATATTTATAGAGCATACAAGTATATAAAAGAAGTAGTTGAAATTATATGCAATAAAACTCTTCAATACATATAAACATATACACTAACACATATATTTAGAATGTAAACAATATACGTTTTAAATAAATACATTCATACACACATAACAATTAATATGTAGATACATTTTAATTGCAGAGGAACACAAGAGGAGATTAGTCAAGGAGAAAGTATTAAGGTTACAGGTACAAATAACTTAAAAACGTATCACCGTTAGTTATTGATTAAAGGATAGCTTCGTTTAATATTTCTACAGTGACTAGGTTATCACATTAGAACTAGTAGGTGTTTTAAAAATGGCAGTATTCATTTATTATATACAAACTTAAGCTTTCCCTTTTAAAGAAAAGCTAGAATTTAAGAAGTAATCTATGTGCGTATCACTATTATAGGTAACTTTTCTGTAAATAAATAATATTAAAAAAAAAAAAACAGTGATCATGCTTGACATATATTTGACGGGCCTTTAGGTGTAACGGTTAGTGACTCTGACTGCTAAGCCGTAGGAATGAGTTTGATTCCCACCCAGGACAAATAATCGTGTGGTGAGTACGATTTGTTCTATGTCTGGTTGTAATTTAATAATAATAGTAATAATACAATAACAATCACACAACGCCATCTAGTCCCAACTAAGCAGAGCTTGTACTATGGGTACTAGACAACTGATATAAATACATATATACTTTTTTTTTGTAAATACATACTTACATATTATACATAGACACACCCAGACCAAATCAAACATTAAATGTTCATGCACACAAATGCTTGACTTGAGCGGGAATCGAACCCACGACTTTTGGAATAGCAGTCCGTTGCACAAACCACTAAGCCATTCGGTCGTCAAATTTGTCTATAATGTGTTTGTATTTAGAAATATTTATGTACGTTTATCAGCATCTAGTTACCTAGCATAGTTTGGGATCAGACAGCCGTGTGTGAGATGTGTGAGGTTATTATTATTAATTAAGCCCTCGACTTCGCTCGCATAAACTTTTAATTTTTATCCTTCGAGGATGTGTTTTTTTTTGGGGGTAAGTTCTTTTTCAGTATCGATGTTAACATGTAAGCAAAATTTCGGATGAACAGTATGGCATTAATAAAATACGAAGAAACAGATACTGAATTTAATTATAGTAAAAGGTATCGGTGCTTTGCTAGTCTTTACTTTAATACGAGAATACCTTATATGAAATTTGTGCCATCGAGAGTACATAAGAACTGAATTTTAAGAGATTTTTTTTTTACGAGAATTGATCGTGTTGTTTATCTATGGGCATTAGTTATTGTTGTTTACACATTGGTAGTCAATAAATTTATTGGCACAAAGTTTTGGCACTAAATTCTGTGTAAAATCAATTCAAATAATATTAAAAAATCAAGCAAACTCGCATGATCACAATTATTCTTTTTTTATTTAGATTATTTATCTTACGCCAACATTTTTCATAATTTATTAGTTTATTTCACTTCATTCTTAGATATAAAATATTTTTATTTACACATTTACTTCGATAACATTAATTAACACTAAACTATTTAAAAAATAAATTTTAAAAGTGTAGGATATTTTATTTATTTTTTGCGGAATTTGACGTCAAAATAGTTTGAGTGTGGAAGTGGTCGCAGACACAAGAAATTAGCCCAGTCAACCATTTGTCGTACAAATTCGTTAAAATATCAGACAGCTTTTACGCTTTTACACCACAACCTCGTCAATTTCCGCCAAAAATAGTTTATTAAATAAAAATAAAATAAAAATAAATAAAACGCATTAAATTAGGTCACATATTTATAGATAAATTAGTTTTGAATGAAATCAGAAATTTTAATGAACCTCGTCAAAGAGACGAAGTGTTGGTAATATAAGTGACTTTGGGATAACATTGTCATCCCAGTAAGGTTTCGCAGAAGTATCATTACAGTTTAGTATATTTTTTTATTGCTGACAAACGATTATTCATCTTGTTGAATATACAAATATTAAACAACTTTTTCACAATTTCGTCTCAAGTTCCATGCTCTTGTTTTTTCTTTTTTTGCAAAGCATTTCTGGGCACTGTTCAGACAAATTCGTCTGTGTCGAACAGTTTTAACTATCCTGCCAAATATGTCATTTTGGACAAACGCAGCTAGAAGGTGCATAAAATAACGATTTTCATTTTAGAGTTCATCCTGTCTCACACTCCTGGCTCTATCCCGGCATGGATATCCCGGCAGGTCTGAAGACAAATGTTCACAGATATTGTAGGGTATTGGTATCTGAAAACATGTGACCTTTATCAAAACTAAGCAACTATTAAAAAACTAAGAACACTTCTCTATTTAAAAAATGCTATAAAATCCTTACAATGCTATTAAGTCCTTACAATCGTTATCTATGGGGTTCGATGTCCGCGGTAACCACAAAAGTCTTTTTTGGTCGTCGGCACTCCTCTTCATCACCCACCCCATAGAAACACACACTTCTTTGAGGGTACACTTTAGGTTTATAGTCGACTGAAGACCCTAAATTCCTAGGCAGAGTCTGAGACTTTTTATAACCAAAATCACGTTTGAGACAGTAATCATAAATTAGTTTAGGTTTCTCGTCAAAGTATTTGCTGTAATATCCTTCACAATTGTCAAAAGACATGCTTTTTGAGAAGGTATCTAAGTGACACACGTGTGGTTGGTATGACCCCTCAGGTCTGGTACGAGGTTCGAGGGGATACCAGGTGTCTGGAGGTGTTGGGGCCCAAGGCGGGGGCCCCAAAGGTCATCCTCAGCGAATCGGTTTGGAGACGATGATGACGTCAGGAGCTGACCGCGTGGTTTCAGTGCTAATGGGACGTCGATCGAGTTTCTTTTCTGCAAATAAAATATTATTTGAGTTTGGAGTAACAGCTAGTGAAAAGAAAGATTTCTTACTTTTAATTCTTAGTTCGAATGTTAAATATTAGTTAAATTGGTATAAAGAGAAGTTAAATTTGTAAGTAAATGCTGTAAAGGGGAAATTAGAACTGTCATTTCAAAATGATGCATCAATTTTTTTTTTCTGTCCTAGATCATTTGTCACTCTTTAAATGATTGACGACTTGAGGAAAATGACTGGCAGCGGATGGAAGCGGATTACCCAAGATCGGGACGGTTGGCGTTCCTTGGGCCTTCGTTCAGCAGTGGACGGAGAAGGCTGATGATAATGATGATGAAATTATTTTTTTTGGACGTTTGCCACACAACGCCATCTAGTTTCAATCTAAGCAGAGCTTGTACTATGAAAGCTAGATTGACTGATAGAATACTTATATACTGTGTTTTTTGTAAACTCCGAAACAAATATTTGCAGATCATATAAACATGGTGGATCATACAATTTGGGCCGACCCGGGAATCGAACCCAAGACCTCAGCATAGCAATCGCATACAATACCACTGCTACACTGGGACAGTTGAATTATGTGAAATGATTGTGATCACTTTTTTATAGTATAATGTGGCAAACGAGCAGACCACCTGATGGTACCTACCGCCGACGAAGAGCACCTTCAAATTCAAATTATAGGTACATTTTGTGGTATTAAAGGTACGAGTATAATATAATGCGAACAGGCCCATTTAGCCATGAAAATAGCATGCAAATTTAGCATTTTATTTAAAAAAGTTATAAATATTAAATATATTATTATTATTGTCATTATTCATTAGTTTTTGTGTATTGATTACAATTTAACTTTTATTTAATTTAAACTCGAGAGTCACCAGTGCGTTGTTTCTCTTTGAGTCCCTCCTCCTAGAACCGGGGCAGGGTTTGGGCTTCGATAATCTCACTCGCTCGGTGAAAAACACCAAAATAATTGCCTAACACCGGTTTTCTGTGAGACCGTGGCATAACTGCGGTCTGCTTCTGCTGCTAGTGAGAGATCCATGCTTCGGCACAAACCGAAGCATGGATCTCTCACTGCATTAATATCGTGATTTTCATCCTATTCGGCGTGTGTCTGTAATTTTTTTAATTAGATATCGAAATGTACTTACGGGGTTTCGATTCCTGAGGAGGAATCTGTTTTAGCAGTTCAATGGTGATCTCTGAAGTTTTAGTAGATGCCGGTGGTGAAGGCCTCGCGATCGTAGCTCCCGAGTAACCGAAGGTTGAAAATCCTCTGCTGTTAGTTCCAGATCCTGGGAATAAAAGTATGCTAAAGAGTTGTTCCTTACTTGAATTCTGTCGTATTGTTGTGAGCCGCGCTGGATTCTTGGCTTCGATTCCAGGTCGAGTCATATAATTATTGGGTGTGTCTGTTAGAGAAAAAACTGTTAGATCAGGATTGGAATTGTGGCAGGTTTTGAAAAGGATGAGGATGCATTCAAAGTAATGGTTCTCTATATAATATCAAAATTTAATGCGACTTGTTGGTTGTCAAATATTGTCACCCATTTCTTGAAGTGCTAATGACCCTATCCACCTCCAGGAACCAAGTCTGCCAAAGCGGGAGTGGTTTCTAATTATATTTTCTTGTGATATAGAGTTACTGCTCCAGTGTAGCTACTCTCTAATTAGAACAATAATTTGAATATAACTAAAAGTTTATGCAGGCATTTGTTTAACGATTTTTAAGAACTGCAAGAAGTGATTTGAAATAAACTATATTGGAAATGGCTTAGTATGTCTAGATACAACGGAAATAGATTTAATTCTTGGAATCCTTATAACAAGTTAGTTCTATGGCTACTTACAAGGAACTAACTCATAACCATTATAATTTTATAACATAAGAATTAAACGATAATATTTTGATGTAGAGATTGTGATTGTCACCACGATAATGAAGGAAGTAAATCTGTAAAGTAATATAATTTATACTAACAATATGTTACGAAACTATCGTAACATATTGTTAGTATAAATTATATTTTATTTTCTAACAATTTCGTTCTTTGTTTATTATTTTTATTAACATTAGTTTACTTCTCTCTGTGATCACTTCTAAAGAGACATTCTTATTTTAAAAATAATATCTAAGGTCAATATTTTATTTTAGCGGTTGAATGTAAACAGCACTATACTCGTATATACGTCTGACCTTTGTTTTTAGTGTAAATATAATTATTTATATATATCTAAGATTTTAGAATAAAATATATTCAGAGACATATTTTTATTTGAATCAATCATGATAAAGCTTTTGCTTCACACACTTTGACTTCCCAAAAACTAGAAGGTATGGATCATGAAATTTAGGTCTAACAAAACTATAACTAAAACTGAAGAAGTTGAAGTCTTAAAGTCCTAAGTCATTATTCCCAACGATGCGCAACAAGTACCAAACTATATATCATTTTTACAACTCCCGTACTAGGAATAAATCCTGTGTCGCGGGGACTTTACAAATACACATGAAACGGATACAAGAACACCCAAACTCAGAACAACAATTTGATGATCACATAAAGTGTCGTCCCATGTGGGGATCGGATACACAACATTCAGCATAATAGTAAGCGGCGTGGGAACCGCTTAAACCGCTAAGTCATCCGTGCATCCTTGCATGTATAAGAACAGGATGCTTGCAAAGGGTTGCAAGCTTGCAAAGGCTTGCAAGCTTCGATGAAGTAGTTTGGTAATATGTTTAAGTTTGTTAACTTTACTGGTTATGGAAATATCAATTAACTTAGTAGTATATTGTTGAGGAATTAGATTTCAATTGAAAGTAATTGATTCCAGTTAAATGAGCATCTGATTTTTAGTAGCGTCATGATTTAAAGAATCTAAAATTTTGATTACAAATGTAGGAGCAGGAGAGTAAAAATTTAGTATGAGTAAAAAATAAAATATTCATGTGTGGAGAGAATCCTATGTGGAGTTTAATAAACAATCATGTAAACAAAAATTGTATTCAATGCTAATGTTAATAAATACATATGCATATGAGTTTTAGACCAGGGTCGATAATTTTGAAAATGATAAAAAGTGAAAAAAAATTATAGTATTTTTTTTTGCATAAGATAAAAATAAAAAACCAAAAACTTGATTATTTGAATTTTTCACATAAATTTTGAGGTTATGTGAAAAAAGTGTAATTACAAAAGTTGTAGGTCTCTTTATTACGTACAACTTTGTCATTCATTTTTTTCCATAGGACTTGTAGTTTTACCGGAAATCGAGATACACCGTTTTTTACCCTTAAAAACTCACCCCCTTCCACTTCCCGAACTCAGATCGCCCGTAAATTATTTTTCCTTTCATTTTTGTTATATTCTCGTCCTTTTTTAACGGGTTTCATCCCACTATTATTTTTTTGGTTTCAAAAATTATCGACCCTGGTCTATTTGTTCATTTATTTATTACGTTTTTTTGTAAGATCATAAATTAAAGAACATTTGGTCCTATCGTCCGGAAAAAGTAATGTTTCGAAAAGAAGCCTTGAATTGAAAGACAAATCTGTACTTATGTACTTACCATCTGAACTTGGCGGTGGATCTGTTTGAAATAGACTTTCTCTAGTTTGACAACCTGACTCTTTTGTATCAGGAGCTCCAACAGACACATCTCTTATTTCTTTCCTCTCTCTATTCTCATCAGATTCTTTTGTCTTGTGTCTCATAGATTCTTCTTTTTTACTTAAATCGCTTCTTCTTGTTCGGCCATTACGTTCTATTCTTATATCTTCTACTTCTGTGGGCATGCTGTCTACTTCTCTTCTCCATGTTTCCTCTTCGAAGTCTATTTGAGTTTCTATAATATAATCTGATTCTATGCTGGGTTGCTGGAAAAATGTTATTTGTTAATGTAATTTAGAGTAGCTTATAGCAGAAGCATTATGTTTAACTGTAAATTAATAATTCATATTAAAAGCCGAAGATCTTTTTTTAACGGTGGTTTTACTATTGGTCACAATAATTTTATTAGAAAATGTACCCAGCCAAAAATCCTACCTTGTGCTTCGAGAAACTTCTCTTCTTTTTATACATTTCATTTGTAAGATTTTCTCTTTCTAAACTGGCTCTTGGTTCACTATCCATCTGGAGTTTGTGCGGGTCAAGGGTTAACCGGCTGCCGTCTATAGCATCCAGCCGATCTTCAGTTGACTGTCTTAAATGCTCCTGTTCCATTGAAGAATAAAAAAATACAATTTATTTATTTTGTTAACTATGATCAATAACTGAAAAGGAGAATTCATCACTTTGACACTCTGACACTGACACATGTTGAAATACTGGGCATTTTATAAATACCAATTGTTATTGATCATAATTTAAAGTATCGATTAATATGATGCCATCAAATTAATTACATGTGTAAACTAGTAGACATATATACACACAATAGTAGATTGACACCTATTTTCTTTCAAAACTAAGTGCATCTACATGTTTTAGTAAATATATATTTTTTTTTGTACACATAATATATTATTTTTAAATGAAATTTGCAAAGAAAACAACCAAGTAAAACTAGAGTTTATTTAAACTTTATTGGCAAGATCAAAATCTTTTTACCATTTACACTAGTGACTAGTGAGTTATTAAATTAAAAGTTGGTTAAAAGTATAATGAACTATTTCATAAGACTCAGAACATCTTTGTTGAATGTTCAAGGCGCAAAGCTTTGCTAGTTAGCAATAATTCTATCTTCCCATTAAAATAAAATAATAAATAAAACTAACCTTAATAATTTTATGGTCTTGGTACAATTTCCTTACGCACTTAAAGATGAACACAAAACTCATACTAGACAGGATCAGAGAGAAGATGATGAGGATGACCAGAATGTGAGTCTCTTCGATAGCAGACTTGTGCACCGTCTGAATAACAAAATACAGTTTACAGATAATAATAATATTTTCACACATGGCCGTCTGGTCCTAAACTAGGCAGAGCCTGTACTGTGGTAATCAGACTGCTGATAAACATACTTGTATTTTTCTAAATACATATATATTATAGATAAATTACACCCAGATCATATGGAAGAATCAAAAGTTAAACAGTAGAATACAAACTTTATTTGCATGATAAAAATAGTAAATTGGAAAAGACGATAACAAGCATTATTTCTCTTGTAACAAGAGACCGTCATGCTCGGATTTTTGAATTATTCCTGTATGAGATATTGGTGGATAAGTAATTCATAAAAGTTTTAGTTGTATTTGTCATGCTAGCTTAATAGAAGAAAGAGATATTTCTGCTGGTAAATAGAATGATCAGGATTCTAGTTGAAGGATATTTATCAAAACAGATGCAATATAATTATTCAAGATGTGTTCGTTTAGTTTTAAATTTAAAACATTCTCGAATCCAATTCCATCTAACGGTTAAAAAGCTGAAGTTATAGCAAAAAACAAGGTTTATAGCTATAACGCTATAACCTATGATAGTCTTTACAAGTCTTTTAACAAAATCAAAATCAGTCCATCTGTTTAGAAGCTATTATTTCATAGACTATAGTCTAGTCTAGACTGTAGTACTATAGAATATAGTCTCATAGCATACTTAATACACCTCTTATTAACGACGGGTTAATAATGGATATGTATAAAATTACATATTACTTGTATCTATGTATATTTTTTAAACATTTTAATTATTGTTTTTTGTTTAACCGTTCCATTAATTCCACTTACTTTACAACGGCTGGGTTCCTCATCTGCTTTTAGCCTGCACTGTGCTTCATCATCACATGCCAAGAGTTTAGGTATACATGTATTGTCTTCACAGTCGAACTCAGTTTCATCACGACATTTAGCTGTAAGAAACCATTTAACCTGAAGTTTTTCTTGTATTTTTTAACAAACTAACTCTTCAACTCTCTAACGACAGGGTTGGGGGTCATGTTATCGTTATTTTGATACTACGCTTTATAGATTTATTGTCAAGGTAAGTTAAACTACATTACTATTTGATGCCATAGCTTGAAAAAAATTGGAGGTCTTTGATAATTCGGTTACTTAATGAACATCTTTTGGTCTCTTTTTTTTTATTTACTGGTACTAGTTTTACCAAGCAATGATGCAAAAGATAAATACCACAGAGAGTGCTTAAAAATGAAGAAGACACTTTTTTTAAATTTTATAAAAGATAATACAGTGAACTCTTCCGACAAAACTTGAGCCCTTAATATTTCCCAAGGGCTTCCAAAATCCCTACCACTCCATCATCAACATCTCGATCAAGAAACTTTCCTGAGCGAGATATTGATGGTGTTAGGTCGATGCCCATAAACCCTCCCATTTTCTAATTTTTTGTGCTATTTGTATGCTAATTTGAATACTCGTAAATGCATTTCCAATACCGCAACAAAAGAATCAAACTCCGTTTAGTCTTTGATTACTTAACCGACTTCTGCTTTTTTTATTGTGCTTTAGAAAATAAATCGAGTCACCGATCAAGTGATAAGTGACAACCACCGCCTATGGACAACACCCACTCAAGATTCTCAAGGGCGTTTAAGGCCTTTGAGTGATCGCTTTTCGAATAAAGCTTATGGATTACAATTTGCAAAAGAGTGGCCATGAGTTTCTTTGCCCTTTCTTCTCATAAGGCTCAACCCCTTGAAAACGGGCAGTTGTAGATCGTCGCAGGCATATCATAGATTATATAATTTTTTAAAATTTATTTTTCTATTTGACAAAATAGAGTTTGTTGCTATTGTGTGTGTGTTGATCTACGACTTTAGAGTCTACATGAAAGACAATTTCAAAAAATAATAATTATAAGATATAATTTTTTTTGAATTTTAATTTGAATTTAGACTACTGTCAAACACTCACTAGATTAAATGGAACGAAAGAACACCTTTAGTAAACGTTCATTGTACTTACGTACTACTTGGGAATATTTGTAAAACTAACTTGGCTTTTCTTATTTCGTGGCTCTAACTTTGAAAATAACGAACTTCCATACAACATTACAACATTTGTCCGTGTTGTGACGGATTAAGAATACAGAGTGTAACCACCCCTATTCATTCCGTGGGTGTCGTAAGAGGCGACTAAAGAAGCAAACTACGCAAGACAACAGCACTGCAGAGAGAAGGAAAACTTGAAATAAACCCTATACCAACCCGTCTGGCCAGCGTGGTACAGTAGGCCAAAACCTCATTTCTAAGGAGAGGCCTATGTCCAGCAGTGGACTAGTAAAGGCTGTTGATGATTGATGATGATTGATGATACAACATTTCATATCCTATTTGGCGATAAAATTTCCAAAAATCCTTTCTTAGTAAGTGCTTACAACATAAAAAGCATCAACTGCCAAAATTTCACGTTTCAGGTTAAGTCCCTGCGTTGATTAATATGACTGTCAGGTAAAGTAATTTTATATGTAGAGATAACTTACCTCCTTCGATAGCTTGATTCACCATTCTAAACGGATTGAATGAGGCTTTAATCAGAGACTTTACTTTAGACAGTTGTGATGCATAGAACCTCACATGCATAATGTTACCGTCAGGATCCTTCGTTGTGACGGAGTTAGCTACAGATCCACAATATTGTGCTAATCTGAAAAGTAATCAAAGGTTTTGAATACAGGATTGCGAGGACTACGATAATTGCAATTATGATACGGAATAATAATAATATGTTCGGACTTGTTACACAGCGCCATCTAGTTTCAAACTAAGCAGAGCTTAATATTATTTAACGGGAATTAACGCGATCTCTTATTTAGGGTATTACATACCTGCCTGGTCAGCCTGTGACCACGGCCGGTGCAACCTGGTCGAAACGTCAGGCAAACCAGAGGTATGTAATACCCTAAATAAGAGATCGCGTTAATTCCCGTTAAATAATATTAATTATCATGGAACGCGAAAGTTTAAAAGTTAGTAAGCAGAGCTTGAAAGCTATGAAAGCTTTATTGACTTATTTACTTTTTTTGTAAATACATACTCGTACACATTATACATAGAAAACACCCAAACTCCGAAACAAATATTTTCAGATCATACAAATATTTGATCCGACACCGGAATCGAACCCGAGACCTCAGCACAGCAGTCGCATACTCTACTACTACGCCACCGAAGCAGTCTAACGTGCGTCATTTTTTTTCCATGGTTGCCTGGTCCCAAATTAAGCAAAGTCTGTGCCACAGTGACCAGACTGCTGATAAGCATCCCATTAATATAAAAAACGCGAATGTTTGCGAAGATATTTCTTACTAAATAATGCCAAAACATCTGAGAGTCTAGACGAATCTGGATAAAATTTGTCACAGAGATAGATTGCAGTTTGCAATAGCACATAGTTTAATAAAAATTTACTGACAAAATCGACATGACAACGAAGGAAGATAGCACTTACGAATTTTACATAAATATTACAAAATAAATTACACCCAGATAGAGAAGTGATCATGTTTATCACACAATAGGTTGCCAGGGTGGGATTCGAACCCAGTATCTGTAGCTCAGCAGTGAATATCATTAACTACTAGAGTGACAAGACAATTTTAAGAAATAAGTAATTAAAATTTAAGTAGTATATTGAGTAGTTTACTGCATGGATGGCGTACTGGCTTAAGCGGTTCCTCGCCGCTTTATACAGCGCTCAATATTATGGGTTCGATCCCCACATGCGACAATACTTTGTGTAATCCACAAGTTTTGTTCTGAATCTGGGTGTTTTTGTGTCCATATCAAATTGTTTGTAAAGTACCCCGCGATACAGGATATATTCCTAGTTCTCTAGGTTCTTCTAGGTCTTTTTAAAAAAGAGAAAAGAGAAGATTTTTTTTCGATTTATACATACTTAGAGTCCAATTCGATGACAGACCCAAAAACTTGAATCACATTGTCCTCACATTCATTTGGTTTATATAAATCGTAAGTTGTAAAGTTTAAATAAATCTGAAACAAGGGAAATAGCTGTTGAAAAATAGGGTAGTTACTGTGAGTTTGAAAACGCTACAACAAAAAATTACAAAGTTTCATATAAATTTCCAATTATTCATGTTTCTAGACGAGCGGGCTTAGCTGTGCATTGATCAATCAGTCAGTGAAACAGTCTGCCAGTTTCTTCTTTTATAGATATACATAACAACATAATCATCATGACTAAAATGTTAGAACTCGAAAGAGCTCAACGAATAGTTTTAAAAGTAATGCTACGTAAACCCTTCAGGTTCCCAACAAACGACCTGTACAATGAATGTAAGCTATTGAGAGTACGTCACATTTCATCTTAAAAATAATAACATCGATGCACCAAGAAATCTTAAACTCTAAAACAATTATTAGCCTTAACCAGCGTCGTTTATTCCGAATCCCACTTCCTACCATAAATAGGACTTTCATAAAAAGACAGGCCATATATCTCCGTCCCAAACTGTACAATAAAATTTGTCAGATACATACAGACATTAATAAATTAACTACAAAAGAAGTAAAGCGATTGATAACAAGATGGCTGCTGAACCTTTCATATGACGAAACTGAACTCATTCTTCCTAATCAAGGACAATAGAGGCAAAGCATACCACAAACACACACATTTACACGTACACACCCAAACAAACGTACGCACAAACACACACACACACACGAACACACGCACAAACACACAAACACGCATTAACACAGTCACCAACTCATCACATATAGTTTGGCCACACTCTCATATTGGTCTTAATTTAATTCTAAGTGTTTATATTATTGTAATGTTAAAAACCTGTTGTAAGTTTATTTTTGAATTTCTATTTAACCAACTAAGCTATAAAACCCATGTAACTACTCTTAGAACCGCTGTCCGCTACAAAATGACAATGAGCAATGTGTAATCACTTGGTTGCCGCGATACAAGCTACGAGCTTAGTGCGGAAACGGCTGTTATTTCCAAATTTTTGTAAATTGTTTTATTGTAAATGTATTAATAAATAAATAAAAATAAAGTAAAATGTCTTCTCTCTCTCACCAGACTGCGGAACACGTACCACGAATCTATTTGTCTCCGTTGTAATAACAAAAAACTACAGACATACATTGCAGATTTTGTATCAAGCAATTATAACATTTCTGAACAGGAACATTCAATGTATCATCATCATCATCATCATCATCAGCCTTTAATAGTCCACTGCTCTATACATAGGCCTCTTCTTAGAAAGGAGGTTTTGGCCTACTACACCACGCTGGCCAGACGGGTTGGTATAGGGAACATTCAATGTATGTTTAGTTTAATTTTACTAAAGACTCGAAATTCTATATTATAAATTTAACTTTAATTAAATTACACTTATATAGACGGACGGACAATATACACATACTGTACAACTATAATCTTATGTAGCCGGTTTACATAACTTTGTAACTTTATAGCGCATTTTGCTTGAAAATTTAAGCTTCTACATAAAGATATTAAGTATTCCAAATATGATTTGTTTCAATGAGCAACAAATGTTTGAAAAGGTGAGCAAAGAATTTGTTCTGTTTGGTAGTACTGTTTGGTATAATTTTTGTAGGAGTATGTTTACATATATAAGACATAACGTAGACCATATCAAAGTCTTTTGGTCTTATTTTACGTACCTTGTTTTCTTCCTCAGTTATGATAGTCCATAGTACATCCAAAGGCTGATCCTCACTACCCGAAACGCATTCTGGATCAATCCCTGAAAAATTCTTACCCTTTTCGATAACTCCTTTCATATCATTCGTAAAGGTTTTATGGCAAGCAGCTGGTATCTTATCTATAAAAATATATGCACAATATTTATTTCATCTGATTGTATTAGTCACATAACCATTTATTTGACAGTTCTTATGTACAGAGAGCTCACTTTTGGAAATACTGATAAATAGCTACTCTAGGACTTAGAAGTAAGGTGCTTAATGGCTCGTTAACACTTGTAAATTAAAAAAATATAAAACCCAAATTAAAAAAAAAACATTAGAGAATCATTAGTTTGTGTAAGCTATAATGTATCTTGTTCACTATCGTGAGAGTTTCTTTTCTTAAAACTGAGACTGAACACGTTATATGAAAGCGTGTAGTTACTTAGAAAAACTTTCTTTATTATAAAAGTACATTCTAGTACAAATTTGGACAAGTCTACAAGACACATTGATATACAGTACACACACATTAACATAAAACAAACGAAAAGACATAAGTCAGAGAGGGAGGAGAGAGAAATAAGACTGTCTCTTTCTTTCAAGCACCTATTTGATAATATAATATTTATACTCACGGCTATGGGCTTCAGCTTTGAATTCAATGCTTATCTTAAAGCCTTCGTACTCTATGGTGTCATCTGAATGAAATTTTAACCACGCGTAAGGCCCCGAAGTGGTGATTTGTTTGGGGAAAGCTTGACCGCACACTTTTCCGAGCAGTTTGGCGAACCCATAGAAACCATCTCGGATCTAGATGAAGAAATGGACTTTAATATAAGATTTATTACAATTCTTATTTAGAAATATAAGAATCGTAATAATTTTCTGGCATATAATGTATTGTGAGCGAGTTCTGTTAACACCCAAATTAAGCACAGTACGGGGTTCTGGAACAAGGCTAGACACACCAAGGGCTATAATTATATAACTCGTTTCATCATCTTCTATCATCTTTACTTTTGGTCCAAGGGCTGTCGGTAAAAGATCACAGACTGCAATAAGACCTCCCATTGTACTGCTATCGAATATTATATTTGATCACTTAGTTTTATTTTTGTCTTGTATATAATGCCCAATGACCCAAAGGTGATGAAGCATGGCTCTCCCTAGATCCATCATCATCAACAGCCTATACTAGTCCACTCTTGGACTAGTATAGTTATATAATTATAGCCTCTCCTTAGAAAGGAGGTTTTGGCCTACTATACCACGCTGGCCAGACGGGTTGGTATAGGGTTTGTTTCAAGTTTTCCTTCTCTTTGCAGTGCTGTTGTCCTGCTTAGTTTGCTCCCTTAGTCGGCTCTTACGACACCCACGGGATGAATTGGGGTGGTGACAATTTGTATTCTTAATCCGTCACCACACGGACAAGATAGATAAAAATAAGTAATTTTTCCCTCAAATAATTTTGAAACTAATTCGGCAACACTTTGAACATGACAGCTTGGTTAGCCTAAACACTATTGGGACCAGCCTTTCAGAAACTGGGTGTATGGATCACATTACCTTTTTTCAGATAGGATACTTACTTCTAAATAGTCATAAATACATTCTGGATGGTTTTCTATTCGAAACATGTCGATAAAAGTCATCTTTACGACATTGCCAACTCCAGCTGAAACAATATACGAGTATATGTATATGTATAAATATATTATACTCTTGCTTATATCCAGACAAAGGCATTTCGAACACCTACCATTACATAAAATTTTAGTCCTATTGCTGCTGCATTTTTTGAACCTGACATTTTACGGATTAGACGGGAATATTGGCTGTATTCCGAAGAAGAATATATTGGGGATGAGATGTTGCTCATACAGATGCATTGAGCACTATATTTAACGTCGAATACCTTTAAGTCAAATCCGAGCCGAAAGAGAGTCAAAGGTCTCTAAACCTCAATTTTTTATTTGCCAGATCTGTACTAGATAATGCTCTTAAGTTAGATTAGATAACTCAGCTACCTGATACTTTCCTGGTATTGGGAAACTCTCCTATATCTATAAAGTAACCATTAATCAAGCTGTAATAGTTTCAGGTCTTAGTTCCTTTGTCCGTATAGGCGAGGCGAGGCTTAATTCGAAAACAGTAAATAGGTTAGTGTCTGATTTAAGCTCAGCGCTAACGTGTAAAGTCAGCTGAAGGCTATTATGGGGATTCTTAAACAGTACTGGATATTGATAAGATTTATTAAACCACATTGAATATTAAGATAAAAAATTCTATGAACGGTGATCCGATAGAATCGGACTTGTGCAAGGAAGTTATTTTACAAACTTACAAGTTTGCGTCCACCTTACGATTCTTGAAGATTTTTACCTGTTTTTGGGCTTACTACCCTTAAACTGATATATGATACAGTTAACTTTCCAAGTATAGGATATACATTTGTTTTCGCAATTATTATTTTTGATGCAATATTTTTGCCCTTTAACAGCAAATTATTGACCTCTGCATCAACTAGAGAAACATAAACTAATAAATAAAACCGCTAACTGCAATCTCATTCACTCTCACACTTGTATTACCTATCCCTTATCCTAGCTCTCTGGGAATGGGCCTCGATTATGCTATTTCAATATTGTATTAATAGACTGTCGATGGAACGTCGTCGGTATAGTTTTGCATTTTTCGTATTCTACTAACTATGCAAGACTAATGGCCTCCCAATGACTTGCCACTAACAGCCACTGATAAAAATGTCGTCGATGTTTTTATAACAGATATATTTAATTTGCCAGATATGGCAATGTTGTTGATATTACAATTGATGAGTTATTGTCACCACATCGACAGTTTTATTTTAGTATTGACGCTGTGAATTTATGTTAGTAGAATATCGATATTTTGGCCGATGTCAATGTTATCTCAACTGCATCTCAATAGCATACCAATACAAGGACAGTGGCTTGTACGTTAACATAAAATAGCAGCGTTCCTGACTTTTTTACTATTTCCTATCTGAAAACTACTACATTGCCAAGATGGATTGGTGTCAGGCACGCAGGGCCAGCCTTAAAAAAACGGCTAAAATCCTTCGCAGAGTTACATATTGCCCCATCCTAATTAAAATTTGAAATAGAGTCAAAGCATACGATGTTGTTTATTAATTAATTCTATTAATACTGTCAAACATATTTATACTTTAAATAACTTACCATCGATAACAGTAACACAATTACTATTATTATAATAATGTTTATTTGGACTAAGAATATTGTGAGGATGTGTGATAAGTCCAGATTCTAATTTGAATGAATCGCATCCAGGATCTTTTATTTCTCTTATCACTCTACTTTTGGCATTTTCTTCTCCATCCTTCTTCAGACTTTTTATTTTCTTAGTTTTAAATTTTCTTGTATTTATTGTATGTTTATTAATGTCATCTACGTTAATTTTATCATTTTCAAAAAAATTACGATTAGTATTGAATGTTTTTTCATCTGAAATGTCGTTGTATTCTAGATAATCTTTACTAAATGGAGTGGTCGACTGGCTGCCCATGGTGACGTCAAATTTGGGTAGCCCCATTATGTTGCTGCTGTCATGATCAGCTGCTTGCTCCGATGCGATGATACCGCAAATAGAACAAACTGAAACAAAAGAATACTTGTTTTTTTTCTGGCTCACAACATGGCTGATCATAGATTGTCAGTTACAAGGTTGAAGTTTCGATCACAAATAAGTGCTTTTTAAATACAGTCATTTTATTATCAGCTTGTACGTAAAATGTATTATTATATATAATTGATTGGCACGAGCCTGCTGTATACAGTGAGGTGCTGCGTATGGCATGTGTGAAAATATCAGTCAAAGTTGAGAGCAACACAGCCTCACTTAATACAATCTATTATGTTCCGTAAATTTATTTAAAAAACCGATTTTTGTAAATAAATATACGGAACATAGTAGACTGACTACCATTCAATTTGTTGCATATTTGTTCAGTGAGTGAGTTTACTGGAAACAATTTATGACTATTAGGTATATGGGTATTATACTCTTCAAGGATATAACTTTCATACTGAAAAGGAAGTTGTTTTTTTTACGATATAGAGGACGAACGACCTCTTTCAGTGCGGGGGGTAGGCCCCTAGGATTAGGGTAGGGGTGAGTTTGGGCCGATAATCTTATTCACTAGGTCTTTTACCTAGTTTAGTACTTTTGCAAAGAAAAAAAAAGCTTTTCTGTGTGGACGTGTTATCAATCTGTTGTTCCATACGTGATGCAATAACTTTTTTTTTTATCTTAAAGTACTAAACTATCCGAAGAGATAACTGAGAGTAGAATCTCTAACCCACAGGTTCGAGGCCTTTGAATTTTGGGTTATGTTCAGTTTTGGTTAATCCCTGAACTAAAGACAAGTCTGTACTATGATACTACACCAGACTGCTCATAAACATACCGTTATAATTCTAAATAATACATATTACAGATAACCCTTTTTATTTGTCTTTGCAGAAATCCACTCGGATACCACCCACCATGTCGGACTCGCCCAAAAAAAGTCACGCCGTCTCAAGTACCAGTAGCCGGGGAACCAGGTGTACCCTAGAAAAGAAATCCTTGGTGCCCCGAGGAGGAGGAGGGAGTCATCTACGTCAGGTAGACGACCCCTTCCTGTGTGGGAACCCCCATGTTACCTTTATGCTCTGTCTCGCTGCCACTACGGCCTACTTCTGCTAGAGTGACAGATGGCCTCACCGGTCACCCATAAATTACACCCAGACACAGAACAAATGATCGTGCTCATCTCACAATATTTGTACTGAGTAGGACTCGATCTTACAACTTCTAGTTTAGCAGTCAGGACCGCCAACCACTAGCCCAAAAGACTTGTACAAACAATAAGTATTCAAATTATAAATTTATAGACACTAAAAAAATTGTAAATGAAAATACAACGAAGAATTATCCTATACATTATCCCGACAGTACAGAAGCCTTTGATCACGAAAAATTTAATGTCAACCCTAACTTAAATAAGCCTCTACAACACGCACCAGGGGATAACAATATAAGCCTGGTTACTTACATTACAGGAGAATATACAACCTTTCTAATCCTTTGAAAGTATTATTTTGTCAATTCTATGAGATAATGTTCCTGAGTCAAAAGAAAGATATTTTTTAAGGCATAGGGATAAATTAAAACTCAGGTTACCTAATGGTAAGCGACAACCCCGCCTATGGACACATTTTTTTTTGGTGACTGGTGGAAAATTCCTTCGTATCTCCGGCTTCTCGGGTAAGGAGTATGTGGTGTTTCCACAAAAAAAAATACCCTGATGGAAAGCTTTAGATGCCCTGCTCTAGGGAGAACTCGAGACATATGATTTAAGCCCCAGATCGACGCCGCACCTAACTAGGCCTTATCTCAGGGGAAGCCAGTGGCTTCTCCCTGACTATCCTATCTAGATGTTGCGGCCCAACAACTTAAAAGTCATAAATGCATTGTTGGCCTTTCAGTGTCCCTGCCAGAATTAGGGGAAGATGGATTGGATCTTCAGTAACTTCACTCCCTAAGTGAGCCCGGTTGTTTGTGAGGCCGTGTCATCACAACGGTCTAGATAATTAATATGTCCTGAAGAATGTGTCCCCTTGTCGGTGCATTCCATTCGAGCATCGACGTAACATTTTAGACTGCTACATATTTTCGAGGCCAAGAACACTTTCCAAAGTCAAACTACCCGAGGGCTGGTTGCTTAAACAATAAAACCAGCTGGGAAATAAACATGCCGAATACTAGTATGTTGAACAGGATTTGGTACAATTACTTTTCGTTTATAATATTTCAGGGTTCCTCCTAATTTCGAAATATTTCTTTACCTCATGTTCCACGTTCTTTTTCTTTGTTTTAATCATTTTTATTCGTGAAAGCTTTTCAATGGTCATTCTTTTGTTAATATGGATTAGTATGAATAAAGTATGGAAGTATGGACTTCCATATTTATATAATATTATAAATGTAGAAGTGAGTTTGTTTGTTACGCTTTCACGCCTAAACCACAACACCAATTTTTAAAATTCTTTCACCAATGGAAAGCTACATTATCAGCGAGTCGCATATGCTACTTTTAATTGCGATTATATACATGCGGCGACCGATATACATGCGGGCGGAGCCGCGGGCAAAAGCTTGTATTTTTATATTTTATCTTTGATAGTTACTATTACGTCTGTAAGTTTTTCAAATGTGTGTAAAATAAAATGAAATGGTATTTAGCGCTATAATACAATATTATTGCCTGCAAAGTCTCGCTGAATAGAATCGCAGAACACCTTCTCGAAAAAAATGTATTCTTGCCACGTATGCTCCTAAAGCAATGGAAAATTTGTTTGTTATGTTTCCATGCCTAAATTACTCAACTAATCATCATGAAAAGATACCTCAGGAATAGTATTCCTAAGGCAGATAAAACCTCACATGCATACAAATCCGCACACAAAAGCCAGTAGGGAATTAATAATATTGCTCATGTACGCAACCTAAGTCTACTTAGCAAAGTTGCAAGCTTGATATCTGGGAGTAGTTTATTTTGCAGATTGTCACATCTGATATTAGATGCAAATAGCAGCAGCGCCATAATTCCGTCATATTTCGCCTGCACGCCAGCTGAATTTGAAATTAAAGCTGTAAAACTTAGAGGTGTGATTTAAATATCAAAGAGCCTTATTTATTACATGACTTTGTTTATTTTTCGTAATTTCAGTAGAGATTTAGCCACTAGAGGTTAATGAAGCTACCAAGCGAACAGTATCGGGTTTTATTCGGCTCCGGCAAGGTTCAAAACTGTTTTTGAGTTTCGTTACGATACTCTTTTATTTTATTTTTTGTTGTAGTTTTAATTAAAGAAGGATAACTAAATATTAAAGTAATAAGGTATTTTGAGAAAGATTTTAAATACAGATGTCGTTTGTGAGTTTAGTTTCAATAGTTCATTTGTTTTCAATTTTTATCCGTGTGGTGTGTCGGATTAAGAATATTGAGTGTTATATTCACCACCCCTATTCATCCCATGGGTGTCGTTGGAGCCGACTAAGGGAACAAACTACGCAGGACAACAGCACTACAAAGGGAGGAAAACTTGACACAAAACCTATACAAACCTATACAAATTGTAGGTATAGGTTTTGTGTGTGTGTGTGTGTGTGTGTAAGGAGAGGCTTATGTCCAGCAGTGGACTAGTAAAGGCTGTTGATGTGAACCTACTCGGTTTCCACTAAGCCACTTTCAAGATAGGGTATTTTTTAATTTATATTTGTAGTATCCTCCAGTGATACACTGTGTTCTAATCCAGGGCTGACTTTCTTAAACAGGTGATTTATGTCAAACATTACTACTGTTCATCCTTATTAGGATTTCGTGCACGTAATATCTAGTGATCGTAAGGTCTCATAAAATTTTATTACGGTCGTACTATTGTATGTGTAACCTTGGATAATACTGTGAGGTACATCTCTCAGAATATATAGATCGAACCTTCTAGTTGTGTGGTCATATTTATGGTCATAATTACCTTTATAAAAAGATATAACAATATAGTCAAATTCAATATAAACTTAGTGTAATAAGTAATTACTAAATATTTAAATTAAAAAAATATTGGCTATGTATACAGATTTTATTTATATAATATTAATAATAATAATTTGGGAGAAGGAACAGAGGAGGACAAAGCAAGAGATGGGAAGATGAACTAAAACTGACGGCAGGCCCAAAATGGAGAAGGGTTGAGAGAGAGAGAAGAGACAGAGTACAATGGAAATTGTTAGAGGAGGCCTTTGTCAAGAGGCACACTGAACTCCGAGATATTTTATAACGAAAGAGACAACCACAATACAAAGAAAGAAGAAAGCAGTTCAGGATAGGAGGCTAAGGCAGAGCCCGTACTATGATAACCAGACTGCTGATAAACATACTTATATATTTCTAAATACATACATAATACAGATAAATTATACCCAGACACAGAACAAATGATCGTGCTCATCACACAATTATTTGTCCTGGGTGGGAATCGAACCCACGACCTCCGGCTTAGCAGACAGGGTCACTAACCACTAGAAAAACAGGCCCGTCAAAGTCAGAGTCACAGTTAAATAAAATAATAATGATTCCCTTCTATCTCCCGCTCTTCTATGCTGTGCCCGACAGGGTCCATAATTGATACCTAGCCTAAGTTTACCAACAGTACTATTTATTATGGAAGCAATAAACTACTGAATATTAAGTCATAAAGTCTACGATATGATCACATCCTTACTCGTAAGTAGTGTTTAAAAAAGGTGGCAAAATGCCTGTTTCTTTCCAATTTCGTTGTTTTTTCAATGTTTAAAACTAAAAAAAAAACCTACATTTAGTTGTCAGTTGCATAAATAGTTTTATCAATTTACGTGCTATTTCCGTTCCAGTTTGTTCTGATAAAGGATTGATTTCCGAAGTATCATTTCAAAAAATCAAGAAATGTACGCGAAATATTGGATTGCCGAATGACTCTGTATCCTTAATCCGTCACCAAATGGAAATATCAATGGATGCTGAATACCACGCTAGAAGTGGTTTTTGGGCCAATTAAATAATTTGGTAACCTTGAAACGATTTATACCCTCGCGACTGGTGGAAAGGATTTTGCATCTCTAAACAACTTTCATGTGTTGCCATAAGATTGTTGATCATTCCACCATCATCTGCGGCGTTTGAAAGAAATTGGTAAATTTTTGGCCAAACGCATATAAAAGATAGGTATCGCCTTCTTCTAGAGTGTCTTAATCAATTTGTCAGACAAATTTACATTTAATGAAAGCTAAAAAAGAAACTTTCAAACTCGAACCGGGTGAAGCTGATGATTCTTCGGACAGCGAAATTGAGAATGTGGCCGAGGAGAGCTATATATGGATCTACACACAGAATTAGCGGAACACAAAAAAAATAAGGGTTAATGTATTTAGAAATATATAAGTATGTTTATTAGTAGTACTATAGCACAGGCTCTGCCTAGTTTGGAATTAGATGGCCGTATGTGAGAAGTGTGAAAATATTATTATTATTATATAGCGGCGGCTCAATTATGATCTGGGAAGGGATATGTTTAGCAGCTCGCACTAAGTTGGTGGTGGTCGACGGCGGGAATCTGACTGCTGATCGATACCGATCAGGAAGATTTTAGAAGAACACGTTGTGCAATTTGACTCGTTTATTGGCAACAACTTTTAAAAAAATTAATTCAATTCTATTTAAAAAACTCTGGCACTAAGAATAAATCTTGAAAGGATTAAACAACTTAAACACAAATGAAACGGACACAAAGAACACCCAGACTCAGAATAACAATTTGTGGATCACACAAAATGCTGTCCCATGCGGGGATCGAACCCATAACGCTTAGCACTGTAGGAAGCGGCGAGGTGACCGCTTAAACCACTACGCCATAATTGCAGCCGACTTTATTCTAATGCAGGATAATGCCCGGGCTCATAGTGCTTGCTCAGTTCAGGCATACTTAAACCATGTTGGTGTAACGGAGATGGAGTCGCCAACACGGTCCCCTGATATGAATACAATTGATCACGTTTGGGACTTGCTAAAGAGGACTGTCAAATCAGGAATACCACCTTCCAACAATCTAGGCGAGTTGCGAAATGCATTACTTGAAGAATAGCAGGAGTTGCCCCAAGAAATCATTAACAAAATCATCCGCAGCAAGCCCAGACTATAATAATACAATATAATAAAAAAAAGAAAAAAAATCTTTCTGACGAATAACCTAAAACTGTCCACACAAAACTTACATAAAATAAATTTCAATCATCCTTCTTCTATAGTAAAATCCCTTTCATTATAGAAATAAGCTATCAGTAAGCTATCGAAATCTCTTCAGCTATTCCGCAGAACTGGATCAATAAACTTACATACATATCTTATGCTACTTTATAGGTAGTTCGAGTTGGAATCACCCTTAAGAGGCGTGAATGTACCTACATGAAATCTTAGTCGTATACAAGGACCGGTAGGAATTTGGTATTGGGATTGGGATATTTTGGTCGGTCGTATCGATGTTTACGAATCGATTGAATATTTAATATTTAAATAGATTAAAATATGTATATGTTAAGGAAGGCCTCTTGTTATCGCCTGGGTATTATTCGAACTCGTAAGCACAAAATAGAAAAACAAATTTGTACACCCATAATCTTTTTCCTTAAACTAACTGTCGACGGCTTTCGATATAAATAATAATAATAATAAGTTGTTTTTTGTATAAGGTTGGTAAGTAATATAGATCGTATGTAATCCCTATTTCGTCAAGTAAAAATACCAAGAATCTGAATTCTGGATTCTGGATTCTGGATTCTGGATTCTGAATTCTGAATTCTGAATTCTTTGTACCAAATCCCTTTTAAAATAAATAAGCCGCACGTAAGTAGAATATCATATTTGGAATATTTAATATTTATACGTTAAAAACGAATTCAACAGTAAATAAATACCAAAAAAATGACAATGTGTGAATCTACGGAAACACATATATGTTTTCAGTCCCTCCATCCAGTTTCACTATCGGTGAGGTGTGATATTTTTTGCCACTTTTCTCGGTCAATTCGTTTTATTTACCCCAATTTACCTTATACCTTTGTCCCGTTGGAAATGATTATATTATCAGGGAAGGTTGGTGTCACGCTGGCGGTCAGCCATAAAAGATATCAGGGTCTAAGTAACACATTGCGCCGACCTCAAATTAGATGATGATGCTTTATTAGTACCTAACTTGTGAAAGCGACTCGTTCGCGTGGAATTTGAAAAGCGCTGCCTTATTGGGTTCTATTCCCGGTTCGGGCAATGAGGTTTTTTTGAGAGAAGTTTTTAATGGTAATAAAATATTATCAAAATCGGT